GCGTGCACTCGCCAGACAGAGAGAGACAGAGAGACGGAAAGCAGAAAATCACCCCCCAGGGGGGATGGCCACACCACAATCCCTTCTCCTCCATTCTCCTCTCGGGACCTTGGGCATGCACACACACACACCCGGCATGAGTTTAAGCCACCAGGTCTGGGACTCGAACCGTGGTCAATTACGTGGGAGTCCAGCGACATAGCCATTATACTAACTGCTGGTCCCGTCTTTCAGTTATTTCTATGGGGAAGACACAGTGGAGATCGAGTGACTGAATGCATGAGGAGAAAATGGTAGGGGAGCATTGGTAGTATGAGGCTCCTAAAAAGATGTGCAAGAATCCAATTCCAGGTGAAAGAGGAAATGTACAATATACCGTGTGTCCAGAGGTACAATCCTGGGCCAGCTAGTGGAACCTACGTGGCTGACTCCTTGGTTCGAGTCTTGGACCCAGTGACTTGGAAATCATGCCAAGTGCGTGTGCGTGCTTACCCAAAATCCCGAGAGGAGAATGGAGCAGAAGGGATTGCAGCATGGCCATCTTCCCTGGAGGTGATTTCTCACTCTCCATCTCTCTCTCCCTCTCTCCAGCAAGCACACATGCTCTATAGCAAGACAAAAAATAAAAAAGTATAATCCTTTCCAACTTCCAAATTGGAAGTGATTATTACATGTTAAAATGTTTGAATCTGAAGCTTAGTGAAGTTAAGTCCATGCACCAAGTCCACCTAGCAAGCAGCATAACCAGGACTATCGCCCATATTTTTCTGACTCCAAAATTTTCACCAATGATTCTCTGAGGTGTGTCGAACCTCATGCTGTGCTGGGTCTAGAGACACAAAGGTGAACTTGATTCAGCCCTCGACTTTGAAGAGATACAGATCGGAAGTCGAGAAGGACAACAAAATAAACACAATGCAGGGTGACAAATAGAATAATGGAGATACCAGGGAAAACACTTTCAAAACCACCCAAACTATACTCGAGTATTTGTCTATCTCTTCCTGAGTTCATGGAGGCAGGGGTAGACCGGGTATAGAGCCCCCTAGCACGGCAAATAAGTGTCGGGTGTAGAAAGCCAGATCCCATGTGGCCAACTGCTGTTACGGTCTCGGCCCTGGCAGCTTGGAAACCATGCCAGGCACGTGTGTATGCATGCCCCAAATCCTGACTGGGTGAAGAAATGGAGGGAAAGGAGTGTAACATGACCATGCCCCATTAGGGAGTGCCTTTAATCTCTCTCATGAGAGCGTGCACTCTCCGAGCAATGAAAAATAAATAAATAAAGCATAAATAAAGAAAATACTCGCTAGATGGATGGACAAATGAGTAGGCGAATGGATGAGTGGGCCGGTGGAGAGGGAATGCCCTTTTAATATTAACGAGATGTTCCTTAAGGCCACTGTGTCCATGTTGCCACAAGAGGTCGCTGCAGACCTGACACAAACAAGTTCTTTTCCTCCGTAGGCACTTCTCCCGCTGCTTTCTGGAAGAAGGGAGGAGACAGGGTGGTGACAGATGCCTCATGGCATTTCCTGCCCCCTGCAGGCCAGGTTCAGAGCTCCATTCCCAGTCTGTCTCCACCTTCGCCCCCTTGTGGTCTCTTCAGCTGCTATCCTAAGTTTTAGGGTCTTGATAGGATTCTCTAGCTTGTCCTAGCTTTTGGACCGAATTAGAACTGGCCTCGGGTCTTTCCTTGCTCTTCTGGCTTTCTGGCTGGGCGCCTTTGCACAAATCTCATCTTGCCAGGCCTCACTGATAAAAGCTAAGGTCGGGAGCGAAGGCCGTGGTGGCTCAAGCCTCCAGGCTCCTGGCAGCAATATAACCTTCATCAGGCATGTCCTACTTGACCAGCATTGTTCTAAGCCTACACCATCCCGGGGGACAGCGACTAGCCCCATGTCACCATTTAAACTTAAATTCATTAAAATAACAACAATTTAAATGTCAGTTCCTCGGTCTGGCTAGTCGATTTCAGGACACGTGGCCAGGAGAACATTTCCATCATCTCACAAAGTTCTCCCAGCACGGTCTGGGCATTTCTCGTTCCCTGATCTTGTTTATCCTTGGTAATGCCCTGCAATGCAGGTATGAAGGACCCTGAGGCACTGAGAGTTTAAAAAACGTAGCCAAAGTCTCTCAGATTGGTTCCAGAGTGAGGATTCGAGTGTGCATGGTTGGCTGTGGGGCCCGCCACTTTGCCCCTAGCCCCAGCTCTCCTGTTCTCCCCTCTTACCTCCCAGCAGCTGAACTGACTCTTCTTCTATTTCCCTACTGTCACTGTCCCTGACAGCTGCTGTCCTGGTAACTGACCCTGAGAAACGAGGAGACCCCCAGGCTTCCAGCCCCTCCAGATGGGACTCCCCACTCTATTTTCCTCCCACCTCCTTTTGGCCCCTCAATTCTCCCAGCTCATTAGTATTAGGGGCTTTGATTGCTCCCTTAGTCAATCTCGGTCTGGGTTCAAGGTCGGCCTCAGTTCTGGAAGATTCTTCACTTGGGCAACAACCCCAGCTACTGACCTGGAGTCACCTTCATCCTCAGGGCAAGGCGTGCAGCCAGCTCAGCTAGAGAGCCGATTTCACTAACCCCTCCATGGACGCTAGCACCTCCTTGCAGGTGGCAACAGCTCACCGGGCAGGGTTAGAGTGAGACGTGAGCTGCAATCTACAGTGGCAAGGTGCTGGGGCCCCGTGAAAGCAGAAACAGCAGGGACAGAGGCTTCACTGCTCTGCACTGTGGTTTGCAGAGACCACTTGTGGTTGCTCCCCTCTGTCTCCCACCCCAGCTGCTGCCCTGCAGAGCCTGCGCCCCACCCACTGGACTGCAGCTGAGCAAGGCTGGAGCCAAGTGAAATCAGATCTGTTGAAGAGAGGGAGATAGAGGAAGATGCGGAAAGCTAACATCACTGGGTGAGAGGACACATTAGCCAACCCCCTTTAATCCTCACTACTTTTGCCTCTCCTGAGCAAGTGAGTCACAAAAGAATTACCCAGCAGTCAGATGGGTTTCCCACTCCACTGAGTCAGAGAATCTAGTGCAAGAAAACTTAGAACATTCACCTTTCCCATTCCCACTTTCAGCAACACGCACATCAAAATCGTTCTAGATGGGACCAGCAGATAGCATAATAGTTACATTGCTGGACTCCCATGTTGTCGACCATGGTTCAAGTCCTGGACCAGGTGGCTTAAAACTCACGCCAGGCACTTGTGTGTGCATGTCCAGAATCCCAAGAGAGGAGAATGGAGGAGAAGGGATTGCATCGTGGCCATCCCCCCGGGGGGAGATGGTGATTTCTCACTTCCTATCTCTGTCTTTCCAGTGAGCACACACACCCTACAGCAAAAATCTCTCTAAAAAAAATTCTTTCTAGGGACCAGCAGTTGGTGTAATGGCTATGTCGCTGTACTCCCACGTAGTCAACCAGACTCCCATGTAGTCGACCATGGTTCAAGTCCTGGATCCAGTTACTTAAAATTCACGCTGGGCGCATGTGTGTGCGTGCCCAAGATCCTGAAAGAAAAATGGAAGAGAAGGCATTGTGGCATGGCCATCCCCCTCAGGGGGATGATTTCTCACTTTCTGTCTCTCTGTGTCTTTCTGTCATGCACATGCACCCTATAGCAAAAAACTCTCAAAAAAAAAAGAATTAAAAAATTCTTTCTAGACTATGTGGATCTTCTCACTTAAAGGTTTGTAGGAAAAACCTTACTATCAGAAAATGCTTCCTAGTGATGACTCAGTGTTTCACTTTAAACTCACATGATGTGTCCTCAGAGGAGATGGCAAGGTGCGCCTCCTCGATTGAGGGCCCACGGAGTAGTTTCTGGTTGGTTTCTATTACAAATGTTGCTGCTGTGAACACTCTTAGACTCGCCTTTTTATAAGTTTATTTATTTACTCCATGAATGAGAGGGACAAAGATGCAGCACCCCAGACAGGGGCTCAGTGCCATGACCCACCCCCAGCTCAAGCAGGCCAGATTATGGGCACACACTTGCACAGTACACACACGGAGATCTCCTGACGTGTACCAGCACCCTGCCTGCTCGGGTCGGCCTCACAGCGCACTGTATCACACTACTGCACCACCATCCAGCCCCCCGTGTACATATCTTTTGATTCCCATACCTATGCATTTCTGTTCAGTGAATACCCAGGAGTAAAAGCGGTGGGTCATCAGAGCCAGCAGATGGCATAGTGGTTAAGGCGCCAGACTCCCATACGGCCAACTACGGTTCAAGTCCCAGACCTGGTGGCTTGAAACTCACGTTGGGTGTGTGTCCATGTGTGCCCAGAATCCCAAGAGGAGAATGGAGAAGAAGGGATTGCAGCGTGGTCACCCCCTCACTGGGGGGACAAGGGGTTTCGGTTTCTGTCTGTCTCTTTCTCTCTGACAAGTGCATGTACTCAATAGCAAAAAAACTCTCAAAAAAAGAAAAACTGGTGGGTCATCAGTTATCCACATGCACCATTTTAGTAGATTCTGCCTGACTGCTTTCCAAAGTGGTTGTACCAATTTATATTCACAGTGGTGGTGTATGAGAGTTCTAGTTGCTTCACATTCTTTCCAACACTCAGTCATCTATAGTTTTGGCCATTCTTTTTTTTTTTTTTTTAGAGGTTTTTGCTATAGGGCGTGTGCACTCACCAGACAGACAGAGAGAGACAGAGAGACAGAAAGCAAGAAATCACCCCCAGGGGGGATGGCCATGCCGAAATCCCTTCTCCTCCATTCTCCTCTCGGGATCCTGGGCACGCATGCACACGCGCCCAGCATGAGTTTAAGCCACCGGGTCCGGGACTTGAACCGCGGTCGACAACATAGCCATTACGCTAACTGCTGGTCCCCCAGCTTTGGCCATTCTTATGGAAGGCGGAGAGGTATTGCAATGTCACTTACCCTTGCATTTAAACCGTGATTTGTAGTGCGCATGCGCTCTCTAACAATTTTTTTTTAAAAAAATGAACAAATAAAGCTTGTTCCCCATTTCCTCTGTTTACACCATTAAGCAGTGGGTCACCACCCAGCCCCGTACCTGAGAGCTGGGTGCTCCCACATGCTTTGCCTCTCCCTTCAGTCCCATCTGTGGACCCTCCGTGCAAGGACAAGCCCCATGCTGCCCTGGATGGCTGTGCTGCTGTTTGGTAAGTCCCTGAACACGGACACCCCCTCCTGGGGCAGTAAGGGCTAGAAGTCGTTCCTGAGACACAGAGTTCCTGATCTCACCCTTCCTGATTCAAGTGGGTTAGTGGCCGGAGCTTGAGACAGGTATGCGCAGACAGGCGTGCTAGAGAGGGATGGGCAGGGAGAGAGGGGCTCACGGTGCTGCTTCTCCCACCTCCGGGGTCCTTGGCAGAGCAGACCTTCAGAGACGAATTACGGAGGCAGAAAATCCCATTCGGAGGCCCCTTGCTTCACAAGATTTTTACCTTACAAAACCAGGTAAAAATACTTATCAGGGCTTCTCTCGAGAGAAAAATGAAGAAAAGGAGGCTGCTGAGGGCGTCCGAGGACCCGTCAGGGAAAGGGGGAGCGGTTCCACGCACTTTGCTCAGTAGGGGAGGAGGGATCTTGCAGGGTGATATTTTCTTATGAACGTCCATGTTTTCATAGGACCAGTGAATGATGACCAGACCTCACCTGGTCAAAAGACTTACACATAACATTCAATGTTCTTTTCAAATTATTCCTTTTCTGCCTACATCCTCTCTGTTAGGGGGTTGGGGGGCGTCAGGTCTGATGGGTCCTTGAGGCTGATTCGAAGAATCCAGTCCATTCTCTCCGACCCATGTCTCTCTATCTTGTTTCCACTTCTCCAACTGCCAGTCATCCATGCCAGTGGCTGAGAAGCTGGTCAAAGAGCAGAGGGTCACTGTGCTCCCCCCAGACCAGCCCTGTCTCGGCTGAAACCATCCTGCCGCTGCTGAAAGAAGCAATTTGTGCCTGTATTTTATTTCCATTCATGGTTACTGAGCTGATCTACTTTTTGTTTTAAAGCTGGTCCCAGTTCTTTCTTCGGTGTGTGTTTGTCTTTACTGAACCAGCAAAGCAAAATGGTTTCTAATATGATCACTTCCTGGACAGAATTGATGAGACTCCGAGCCCAGGTGGGACAAGGTTGTGCCGGTCACTGCTTTTCCTTCTCCAGCATCGCTGTGCTCCTCCGTGTGTTCTTGGCCAGGTGAAAAGATCACACGAAGGACCCGGTGCCTGGATCTACTCCGAAGGAAAGCTTCCCAGGGGCAGATTGCACCACCTTGTAAAAGGAGTGGCCCTCAGACTTGTTTAGATAAAGCCCAAGAGCATCCCAGCGCGGAACCAGGATGTAATGGCAGATGGGGAGGAAGAGAGGAAGGACAGTCAGTGCCGGGCTGAGTGGTGCCGTGTGCAATGGGGAACCAGGCCCGTTCATGCGCAGAGACTGCAGAAAAACCGCTAAGCCACAGTCCCCAGGGCTGAGTGTTTGGGCAGTTACTGTAAGTGCTGAGCTGCCATTTCCTCTCGATGTGGAGAGAAAAACAGAAGAAGAAAAAAGAAAAAAAGAAAAAAACCCACATTCTTTGTAGTAAGTACACCTTATCTTTTAGACCCTTATAGGGCAATTTTTTGGTTTTTGTTTTTTAGGGGTTTTGTTTATTGCCTGCACTCTCCAGGGAGAGACAGAGACAAACAGAGAGAGAGAACCCTCCCCCACAGTGGGACATGTCATGCCACAACCCCTTCTCCGTTTTCACCCTGCTGAGATTCTGGACACGCATGAACACATGTCTGGCATGCTTTTCAAGCTGCCATGACCAGGATTCAAATTGCAGTGTGGGATCCAGTTCCCTTAACCACTGTGTGACAGGACCAACCCTAGGACAGGTACCATTCTTTTTTTTTTTTTTTTTTAGAGATTTTTGCTATAGGACACATGTGCTCACCAGGGAAACAGAGAGAAAGAAAGCGAGAAATTATCACCCAGCAGGGATGGCCATGCTGCAATCCTTTCTCCTTCATTCTCCTGGGATTTACTAATGAACACATGCCTGGCGTGAGTTTTAAGTCACCAGGTCCTGGATTGAAAACACAGCTGACTACATGGGACATGGGAGTCCAGTGACGTAACCATTACGCCATCTGCTGGTCCCAAGGTACTTTTATCCCTAGTAAACAGTGGGAGAAACTAGGGTTTGAAAAGATTAAGACATTTGCCTGGAAGTATCCTGCGAAACAGACTTGCAACCCCAAGTTCACCTCATGCTTTCTCTATCCTACCACACGACCTCTAGACTGGATGGAATTCTAATCATGCAAAAGAAGGAATTTGTTTTTATTTTATTTTAAATGCCTGGCACAATGTAGTCACAACAATTAGTGGCTATTTTTGGCTATCAAGGATCCAAGAGGCTAGGGGCCCTCACATGGACCCTGCTGGTATTTGGCAAAAACCTTAGGAACAAATTTAAAGATTGGGAGATGAGCCTTCATTTTTTCCAAGCTGAACCTTCATTCTTCCCTCCCACATCCGGGGACCTGCCTCTCACACCTCACACAGCCTGCACGGCCCGTGTCAAGAGGCCACCACATAAGCTCCCAGCGACATGGCAGCCACACTGAACCAAGCAATGTGCTCCACCCTGGGAGGACTCAACTGTGAGACAGCGCTTCATATCCTACCGAAATCCACCTCCTCCATCCCCCTAATTTCTGTGAATCAGTCCCTGTCCTCTGAGTCTCTCAGAAGGAATCTCTTCTTCCAGGCTTAGCCCACCAACAGGGAACTGCCATTGCGTCCTTACTCTCTGGCGTATTTCCCAATCCCTCAGCAACTCTGACGGGAAATGGACTCTAGATCATTTCTTGTCCTGATCTGCCGTGCCCTGATGCATTTTGAACAGGGTGCCAGGAGCTGGACTTTCTCCTCCCTCCCATGGTGGTTCATCTAGCACAGAGTTAAGGGGCTGCTGCCTCCATTATTCAAGACTGTTGTCAATTCCGTCTAGCAATCGCTCTTTGCTGTCTCGTCACGCTGTCCCCTTGTCTTCAGCCTGTAGCTAGCTGCGGTCCCAGGTTTGTCCTCACAGGAACTGCTCTGACCAGGTGTCACCATTTGTATGTCCCCAGTTAGCTGTCTGAATTCCACAGGGTGGTTCTGCAGTCACAAGGCCAAGGTCTTGCAGTACTGTGGGCACTTTGTAGCTGCAAATTGTGTTCCGGTGAGGAAGGGAAAACAGCAGGTGCCTAAGTACAGAGTAAGCTCTCCGTCACTCTGAGGTCAGGCCTCCTTTCTGCTTTCAGTTACTGTAGTAACCACTTTTCCAGGCAGTGGGTCAATGCAACCTTTACGACAATGATGCAAGAAAACAAAAATGACTATTATTGTTTCTATTATAGCATATGATGGAACAGGGATTTGAAGAAAGTTTTAGGATGTAGACAACTTGTGCAAGGTCACACTGAACAGGTGGATTCATGACTCTGGTCCACTTGCTTTCCACTGCACCAAGCTCTTAAGCCGACCAGGAGAGGGAAGGTGGAGAGGGAGAAGGATGATAAGAAAGAGATTCGTACTGTACTTCACATGCTTGAGGATTTGTGACTGACTGAACTGACTCTGTGCCGAGTTACAGAATTAGATGGAAAGGAGCCATCTGTGTTGAAAGTGGTGCGGACAACCAGAGTGACAGCCTGTTACTGAACATGCCAAATGCCTGCTCCAGGAGGGTTTTCACAGTGCTAGTGAATAAGGAGAAATTCTTTTGATCAGAGTTCCAAAGAAGACCTGTCTGAAGAGGTCACATTTGAACTGAAATAGGGCAGAGGTTCCAGGGAATAGGCCTTCCATAAAAGTGTGTTATGGTTTATAGTGAATGGTTGGGTGTCTGGGTGGTTGAGTGGCTGAGTGGTAGGGTGGTTGGGCAGCTGGGTAGTTGGGTAGCTGCGGAGTTGGGTGGTAGGGTTGTCAAGTGGTTGGATAGCTGGGGAGATGGGTGACTAAATGGTTGGATGTTTGGGTGGATAAACAGTAGAGTGGTGGTCGGGAGGCTGGGTAGCTGGGTAGATGGATTTCTAGGTAGCTAGGTGGTGGTTGGATGGTTGGGTGGTTGTTTGGTTTAATAAATGTAAACACCTGTTGCTGAAGTGACGGGCCACCTTGTCAGAACTTTTTTTTTCCTGCTACTTAACCTAACTATATCACTTTGTTCTCCTGCAGTTCCCTGTGTTGGCAAAACTGGTAAGTCTTGTTCATGTTTCTTCAGACTCCTAGTGTGTCTCTGGGCCTAAATTTAATGGCCAGAGCTAGGACAGTGCCACTTGGTCCCCCAGGAACATCTGCAGAGCAGCACCAGAGTAGGCTACCTCCTCAGGAGCCTTGTCCAGTCCCCACAAAGAGAAGAAAGCCTAGACTCCACTGTACCCAGTCTAAACCTGAGGGGACATCTAAGAACACAAGTCTCAGCAGGCAGCTCTGGACTTCCATCTTCTTCTCTTAAAAATGGCTCTGACCTGTCTTCTCGGTTTGGCAGGAAGGACTAGAGACAATGACTTAGAGTAAGGCGCCATCCAGACATCTCCAGTCCCAGTGGGAGGCCTCAGGCTGGGGGTGGAGAGAGACAAAGTGGATCAGAAGGACCCCAAGTTCCCAGGCTGAGCTTGTTCCTGTGTCTCACAGTCTGGCCACACCTCCAAGTCTCACCAAACCCCGTGTTTGAAGGAGACACCCTGATTCTGCGGTGCCAGGGCAAGAACATAGCACTGCCCCATGTGAGGTTCTACAAGGATGGAGCCATCCTCAATCTCACTAAGGACAAGCAGCCTCTGTTGATACGACCAGCAACAGTGACAAGCAGTGGCCAGTACAGTTGCAGTATACAGACGAGACATGCTCTGAACATACTCACGCAGACCTCGAGGAATGTCGCAGTGCAAGTCCAAGGTGAGTCACTGCCATTGAAAAGGGTTGGTGGGCAGCAGGTACAGCTCGGATCCAGGCTCTAGAGATCAGTAGCTCTCTGGGTGGGACCCCTCTCTCTAACTGAATCCTAACACAGAGCCAATTCATGGGACCCTGAGAAGTCCCCACCCCTGCCACGGGGCACACCTGGATCCAGAGAAAGGAGGACCACATACCCTGTCAGGGTGGGGGAGCCCTGGACTGACTTAACTGCTCACCCTTGCCCTCTGTGAACCACATGACCTCTAAGGCCACCCAGCTCTGGCTTCTAGGATTCCCAAGGGGCTTGGTTGTGTCGGAGTTGTTTCTGAGCTGATGAGAGAGGAGACGAGGACAGGTCTGGTCTCCCATCTGGTCTGGGATGCACTGGACCTCTCTTCTCAGCCCCCTGGGGTTCAATGTCCAGGACTCTTCTGCTGAGCCCTGGGTCTGTGTCTCCCCAGAGCTGTTCCCACCTCCTGTGCTGAGTGTTGTCCCCTCTCACGAGCCTCGGGAAGGGAGCCTGGTGGCCCTGAGATGCCAGACAAAGCTGCACCCCCAGAGGCTGGCCCAGCAGCTCTTCTTCTCCTTCCACAAGGACGGCTACACCCTGCAGGACAGGAGCCGCCACCCAGAACTCCACATCCCAGAAGTCCGGGAGGGAAATTCTGGGCTATATTGGTGCGTGGTGGCGATTGAGGGTGGCAAAATCCAGAAACAGAGCCCCAGGCTGCAGCTCAGGGTGCAGGGTAAGTGGACAAGGGAGGACAGACACTCCCCAGGGGTCTGGGCATCAGAGGGGAGATTCCCTCCAGGAGGAGGTAGTCGGAATCCTGAGTGACCAGACTGAACTCACACTCACATTCCCTACAGCTCCTGTGTCCCGCCCTCAGCTCACCCTGCAACACCGGCCCACACACCTTGCCTATGGCAGCACAATGGCACTCCTCTGTGAGACCGAGAGGGGCTCCCCTCCAATCCTGTACTCCTTCTACCTCAACGGGGCGATCCTGGGGAGCCGAGTCCACTCGGCTCCCCAGGGAGGAGCAGCCTCCTTCCTCTTCCCGGTGAAGTCAGAGCAGGATGCCGGCAACTACTCCTGTGAGGCTGAGAACAGCGTCTCCAGAGAAAGGAGTGAGCCCCAGATGCTCTCCTTGGACGGTGCGTCTTGCCCCCCACCAGGACCTGAGCCCAGCACACTGGCAGGGGTCAGAGCTCACGCCTCTGTGCCTTCCTCCCACACCCGGCACAATGCTGGGCTCACAGCAGGTCCTGCATGACTGACCACGGGCCCTGACTGGAGGATCTGTCACGGAACCCAACAGGGACACACCAATGTCCACACAGTGGACGGCACTGGGGGGGAGGGGTGCCATGGTCATCTTGCTGTGACCCGTCCATTTTGGCATCCTTCAGGCCATCTCTCATTCCCATCTACAAAGTTCCTCCAAGCCCCACGGTTCCCCTAATGCTGACCTTTCTAACCCCTGGGATGCCTTTCTGAATGTCACCCCCAATGCTCATGGCCACCCACATCCCTCCCCAACCAGGTCCTCGGGTCTTGTCCACCCCTGCCGGTAGCAACCATCTGGTTCCTTGGCTGCCTGCGAGCCTGCTCGGTGTGATGGGCCTTGCTGTTGGACTTCTGGGTTATTTCAGACCCTGGGAAAAAGCCGGTTAGTAACTCTTCATGGCTTTCTTGATCGCTGAATCCCTGTGCCAGGCGCTGCCCAGCCTTTGAAAACTCAGACTCTGGGGACCACCAGATGGTATAACTGTTACATCACTGGATTCCCACATAGTTGACCATGGTTCAAGTCTCAGATCTAGAGACTTAAAGCTCATGCCGGGCATGTGTGTGTGCAGCCCAAAATCCCAATAGGAGAATGGAGAAGAAGGGATTGCTACATGGTTACCCTCCCTGAGGGGTGATTTCTCACTTTCTGTCTGTTTCTCTCTGTCTCTTCTGCAAGTACACAAGCCTTATAGCAAAAATCTCTCTTTAAAAAAAGAAAGAAAGAGGGACCAGCAGTTGGCGTAATGGCTATGCCGCTGGACTCCCACATAGTCGACCGCGGTTCGCGTCCCAGACCCAGTGGCTTAAAACTCGCGCCAGGCGTGTGTGTGTGCGTGCCCAAGATCCCGAGAGGAGAATGGAAGAGAAGGGATTGAGGCGTGACCATCCCCCCTGGGGGGTGATTTCTCACTCTCTGTCTCTCTCTGTCTGGTGAGCACACGCTCCCTATAGTGAAAAACCTCTCAAGAAAAAAAAAAAAAAACTCAATGCTCTTTACTACTATAGTTCTGTAGCGTTGGGCCAGTTCACCCTAAGCTTCTAAACTCTCTTCTTCTCATAAATGTTGTAGGGATTTAAGTTAATAGGATAACATATTTTTAATACATAATGCATTCGACTTGCATGTAGTAAGTCCTTGTTCCAGTCTAAGAGATCACCCCCGCAGGTTCCCCAGGCTGCTTTTTCCTGCTGTGCACTCTCTAATTTCACTAATCAGAGTCATTGACAATAGGGGAGCTGGATGGTGGCACAGTAAAATGCTAAGCTCTGCAAGGCAGTACCATATGGGAAGGTTCTTAGTTCAAATCCAGATAACTCCCTGAGTACACTGGGCATACCCTCGCCAATGATCCAGAGCTGACTGCTAGAGGTAGACTGCATCTTGAAGACCCTGTTGGGGAGTAAATAAATAACGTTTTTTCTTTTTTCTTTCTCTTTCTCTCTCTCTCTCTTTTTTTTTTTTTTTGAGAGGTTTTTGCTATAGGGCACATGCACTCACCAGACAGAGACAGAGAGACAGAAAGTGAGAAATCACCCCCCAGGGAGGATGGCCACGCCACAATTCCTTCTCCTCCATTCTCCTCTCGGGATCTTGCGCACGCACGCACACACACACACGCACGCGCACCTGGCGTGAATTTAAGTCATCGGGTTCGGGACTCAAACTGCAGTAAACTACATGGTTGTCTAGCAACATAGCCATTATGCTAACTGCTGGTCCCATCTTTTTTTTTTTTTTTTTTTTTTTTTTAAATTTTT